CATATGTCTGTATATATAGAGAGAGCAAGCACTCTTTGTTGATAGAGAGTGAGATGATATCTTATTCATAGATATATTTGGTGGTTGAGAAAGAGAGAATTGATATCTAAAATGATAAATTATTTGATTATGAGAAGTTCCATTATTACTCTTTCAAACAAGAATGACAAATCTACAATTAACTACAACAATAGTTAATTGTACATATCTAATGTTTGATAAATATTAATGATTTTATCGTGATTCACGAGAATCAATTAACTATCTCCTAAAAACAAGTTATCACTAACGTATTGTCCTAAAAAAACTGTTAGTATGATTCACGACAATCAATTAACTATTGTATTTTCCTTTTCTATCCTATATAAAAGGAGTCAAACCATCTGTCCTGCCAGCCAACCGTATCGAGCTATATCATGTGGTTTAATATTCTTATTTTATTTTTATTTTTGCCTCCTCGTCTGGCATTTCTTTTCAAAATCATACCGTTTTGTCTTTTTGTTTTTTTTTAGGGACATAAATGGCATCGTCTAATCTATCTTTTGAACAGAAAGACACCATATTAATTTAAGGAGAACTTTATAAAATGACGCCGTTTATTGTTTGATTTTATTTTAATTTAAAAATGACCTCATTTGATCCTTGTTTTGAACGTCATTTCCGTCTAGCTTGTCCGAAATGGCAAAACATGTCCTTGTTGCTTTTCACCTGTCATTTTTTTTTTGCTTAATTAATATATTTGTTTTCCAGTCAGATATCTGGAAAGAATTGTAGAAAGTTAAAGAAAAGGTAAAAGATAGATCATTTTTAGAAATCGAAGTGAGAGTGGGGGCTCATCATTCATGTTGATGCAAATTTACGGTTAATTAAATCAAAGGATAATTGCAACAGATGTTCCAAATTTTTCTATTTTTCGTAGCCTTTACTTCAACATTCACTTTGCGTTACTTACAGCTTCAAATATTTCATTTTATTGCAGCACAAAGATAAATGCATAATCGTTAGTTGACAAAAAAAAGGTGGACTTTGACCATTCTTGATCAAATTGAAAAGGGTAAAATAGTATATTTACA